AGATGCACTATTCACAAATAAATTGTTCTATTGAATTTTTTATATGAATACTGTTATGATTAGTTAACCTTTTTTAAAACAGACAGCTTCTACAGAGAATTGTGGTTCTGAATAATCTTCTCACCCCTCTTTGGTGATTATTGGTGACTGGTTTTATTGGTGATTGATTTTATATTTTGATTACCTTTCTTTCTATCCCTCTCATATTTTTAATGATGGTACTGTTTTCTTGCATTATGGTAGGTTTTTACACTTTTATAATTATTCAGAATATTTAGATGTGTATTTGGTCTGGACTAGCACATCATGTAAGTGCTTTTAGTTTATAATATATTAAAAGAATATGTTGCAATAACAAAGGAGAGCATTCAAAGGTTAGGTATTGAGTACCCTGTATTATACATCTATGATTAAATTTTCAGTTTACTTAGTACTGTAAGTACATACCTGGTTAGAGTGCAAAGGCTATGATTCAACAGACCTAGATGTATGCATCTGTGATAGCCACTTGTAGTCTCTCTTTGTGGTCATGGAAGCATTGTATTTAAGGCAAGCTTAATCTAGAATAAGTATTTGAAGTTGATTATAGGTTGACTTGATGGTAATGTATATATAGTACAGTGAGAGGAGTTGAATTCTTCTTAAGCTTTGTAGTTAGCTTTCCAGGAAATGAAATTAAAATCCTCATTATACTTTCCACAGCATAGACCCATCTATCTGAGGTACCTATGTAAGAAACTTAGTTTTCCTAGGTGCTCAATATGAGGGTCTTCCAAATGACAAGTTAACCCACTTAAGATCTGTTTATCTTTTGATTACATAGGAGACTAAGGTGGTAATATTTGTAATTTTTGTAAGTTTTAAGTAAGCTTTAAGTAAGTTCCTAAGGGTAGGTGGGGTGAATTTGTGCTTGTCTGATGTGACTGTGTGGCCTCTCTCAACTCAAGAATTATTTTGTCTTCTTAAATACACATTCCTAATCATATTTCTTTTATTATCTGAATGAAGGTCTCTTTATAGGTACTCATCCAGTCTGTGTTTTCATTCCTGTCCTGTTGCCTTATAGAGCCATTTCTGTTTCTCATAAGGCCCTCAGGAATGTAATCCTGATACTCCTCTTTCTTTTAAATCCAATTTTCCTTCATTCAACTCCAAACTTGTTTCTCTTGCCTGGAGGTGAAAACAGTTATGTGGAGCAACCGCAAACATACCACCATACCCCGGACACTTCTGTGATACACCTGGTAATTCTTATAGGGATATATATCCACTCATGGTTTTATTTAGGTCCTTCCCAATCTTAAAACATTCTTTGTCCCGACCCATGCATGTGACTCTCTTGTTTTTACAGGACATAAACTGAAACAAGAAAGGTACAGATTGGGTATTAAGGGAAACCTTTTCAGCGCTACGGCAGTAAAGCAGTGGAACAGGTCATCCAGGGAGGTTGTTCGGTCTCCAGACTTTAGACTTTTCCAAGACCAGGACAGATAAAGTCCTGAGCAACCTGATCTGATCTCAGAACTCATCATAATTCAAGCAGGAGGTTAGACCCTCTCCCGGAGTTCTTTCCAATCTGAATTGTTTTATGTTCCTATTAAAAAAAAAAAAATCCTCTTTCATTTGCATAGTATTCAGAAGGAGACTGATTTGAGAGTACTGAGTAAACACTTTCTCAGGCTTTAGCTGACTTGAAGTAGCACAGACTGGCCAATACTATAAGGAACTTCACGGGGTTTTGTGAGAATTAAATACTTACTCCATTCAAGTTCTAAAATCAAACTTGTAACCATAGATAAGCATTAATATGAATTACTATTTTACAATCTCTAATTCTTCCCTAAATTTGAACTGATTTCATGGATATAAAAAGTGGTGCACAAAAAAAGTCCCTTAGCAAAAGTTTGGGGTGCTGAAGCAGTTTAAAGGTGAGGTGAATCTGAGTATTTTGACACAAATCAAATGTATTTTCATCTGTTTCTTGAAGGTGAATGACTGCTCTAGGCTACAATTTGCAAAAAATACTCAGGCTGAAGGAGCCACCAGTACACAAAGTTTCAGCCTAACCCATTAAAGAAAAAAAATTACAGTGAATTGGAAATAGCTTGCTGTCATGTAAACTTTAGTAGTAAGTTATGCTACCATCATATCTGTTATACCTGAGAGAAGTAATGGAATTAACTGGAGAGTGTTAAAGAGTTTTCATGGACATTTGATGAAGATCATAACATGTGATCAAGAGATAAAACTTGATTTCTTTTGATCCAGTACTTTTACTTTAATTGTGTCATTTTGAGAATGATATCCCAATATTTTTTAACTACTTTGATAAAATATACAAAACAGAAACAGATATAGGTGCAGTGAAGAAAAAGATTAAAATAAAGGTTCGATAGTATATTTCCTATTTAAATTATATTGACAAATTCTGCAATTAGATAACTAGAAAGAGACAGCTAACCCCCATACACTATAGTTAGAAAAATATTTTAATTACTTGATCTTGCAGTCACTATTTTGCAAATTCATTTCAGTGATCTGGAGATACGTGTTTATACCTCTAAAGGCACTTAAAAAAATGAATACCAGAGTTAATATTTTCAATTTCCCATATTCAACAAGCAATCATATAAATTTTTGTGAGCTTTATAGCATGCATTATATGCAAGTTTATATGAAGTATTGCACACTGAATTACCAGTAAAAGTATATTTGATATAAATGTTTTATTGCTTAGCAAATGATGGCAGGCAACTATCCAAAAACAAGAGTCAAAGCTATAGCTAAAAGAATGATATCTGGAAGGCACAAATGTGTACTTATTATCTGTATTGCTTGTCAGAACATTTGCATATGTGCAGAATGAAAACGAGGAAGAATAACAGTAATGATAAAGATACTATGATCAAAACATTCATCAGAGAAAACAACTTTTTTTTGAAATTAAACAAGAATCTTTTTTGATATACACAATAGCTGGAGCACACAAAGGATTATTAAAATTTAATATTAAGTTATGAGAATGAGAGGATGTAATGTTATTTTACATAACAGAAGCTTTAAAGAGCAGTAGCTCACATTTTCTTTTAGCTATCAGAATACTTGCCAGAAGCCCATTTAAGCCTTTGCATCCACTGCTGTTTTCAATCCCAGATGAGATTTGGCTTTCCTCACTCGACCCTAACACAACTGAGCAATGCCTTTATATTCCTGCTGGGTACTGCATCACTGCTCCTATCTTCTGTGGGAGACCTCATAGCTGTCTACAAGTTCCTTACAAGAGAAAATGGAGGAGCAGCCACTGATCTCTTCTCTCTAGTGACCAGTGACAGGACCCAAGGGAATGGCATTAAACTGAGTCAGTGGAGGTTCAGGTGGGATATTAGGAAAAGGTTCTTCACGCAAAGTGTGAGTGGGCACTGGAACAGGCTCACCAGGGAAGTGGTCACAGCGCCAAGCCTGACAGAGTTCAAGAAATGTTTGGACAGAGTTCTCAAGCACACAGTGTGATTCTTGTGGCTATCCTATACAAGGTCAGGAGCTGAACTTCAATGATCCTGATGGGTCCCTTCCAACTCAGGATATTCTATGATTTGAGATCAGAAACTTCTTTTACATCCATGTTGATTTTCTGCCATGGTTGATTATCATGCTTGTTTCCTGTGTATCAGAATGGACTGTTCTTGTGCTTTGAGGAAATTTTTCTTGACAGTTTCTTGAAACTCTCCTGGCCCTCCTTTGCCCTCCAAAACATTTGCCAACTGGGTCCTGCTAAAAAGGTCTCTGACTAAGCTAAAATCTTCTTTTCTGAGATCTGGGGTTGTGATTCTACTACTGGCCTTGCTGTCTTCTCTCAGGATTTTGAAGTCCACAATCTCATAGTAAGTGCTTATTATAGACATTAAAATGATGGTTTTACCGTCCTTTTGTAGTGCTTCATAGTCCCTATCAAAACTGATTAATAAGAAGCTGCTGTTTGCTTCAGTGAAAGAAAATGAAAAACAAAAGGAAAGAAAACACTTCATCATTGCACATCTTTCAAGAACAGAAAATAAGTCAAAACCCAGCAGAAAGAACTTGACTTTCTCCCTCATTCTATGTAACAATTAAATAGTCCAGTCCTTAATATATTTTTTTCTACCAAACTTCAATCTTTATTGTCAAGCAAAAGAGGAGAGAATAAGTTGTTTTGCAACATGTATTTCAAAAAATACACTGTGAAAAGTAACTAAAATTTAGCTAATATGGCTTAAAATACCAGAGGATTTATATGCAGTTTAAGGGACCGACATCAATATCACTGAAGAATTTTAATTTTAGTGTTCTTTCTTTACAAGTGTGTACATATATTTTATCAGTTTATGTGTGGACTTACCAGGGTTGCTAACAGTTGGACTTAAAAGACCTGGAAGCTCCCCTTCTTTCTGGAAGTTTCGCAGTTATTCTTTTAATTGCTTGCTTTCTTTCTTTAATAAGTATGCATTTAAGTAGTTTGAGGTAGCATGAATATCTAAATAAAAGATCCAGGTCAGATCAGAATGCATTGACTATAATTATCTTGAGTATTGATGCCTGATAGTTACTGTGTGTATTTAATAACGTGTTCTGGTTTTTAATTTCCTTTAAATTTTTCATTACAGATGGAGCCTAGTTTAAGGCAGAACTTGAGTTTTTACTCTAAGTTTTGTGGAAAAGAGGCTAATTAATGAATTATACACCTCATTAGTTTTTAAATTATAGTTGAACAACGTCAATTACTACAATAAGAAAAATATGGATTTTTTTTTGTTTGTGGCTTAATATGAATGAGGCTCAATTGTGTTCTCTACTTTAATATAGGTATTGTTTATGTTTTGATCAGACCATGATCAGTAATTAAGTATGCAGGAAAGTATAGTTCAAAGATAAATTGGAGAGTATTTGCTGTTGTATCACATTTTTGTACTGAAAGAAGTTTGTTTATCCGTCTTCAAGATTGCATTTGTACTCTCATCACTCAGGTAATTTCACAGCTTCGGATCCTGAGCAGGTCAGTAACTGCTGGCTCCAAATTTGACAGAGAAATATGGTCTACAGAACTTTCTCCTATCCTCAACCTATGGAAGAAACTTAATCAGGTAGGAATGTACCTGATTTGAAATGACAACTTATTCTTCTTTTTTTCCTGGTAACTACATAAAAAGTAAAGTCTAAGGAATTGTCTCAAATATTGAAACACTAGAAGTGAAAAAGTAAATTAAATGCATTTGCAGGGGAAAATACGTTAGGTGTTTGTAATTAGCTATGAAGTCTGTACATGATGTAACAGGCTATCACTTTTTTCTCCATATGAAGGTGAGACCATACTCAAGACATGAGACTAACATCTTGTATGTGTTTCCAAGAAAAATACTAATGTATTTTAGATTTTAATTTATTCTTTTCATTTCTCTAATATACACAAGACAATGTTTAATGATTTTAAATATAAATGAAGTTTTTCCTGTATAATCTTGAAATATGGTATTAGCTTTAAACTGAGGTTCATTAAAATCCCTTCTACATAGATCACAGACATCATGGCCTAAAACTATGTCTTGTACACAACAACACTGTAATAAGAAAAACCTTTTCCTTACTCAAATAATTGCATACAAAGAAGTGGCATGAGGTACACATTAGAATTTGCCATAACATTGTGAAATATCTCATTAAATTCTCATTTAATCCATTCTAAGTGTATGATACATCATGTTTTTGTCAAAATAGTCCTTTGGTACTAAATAAGTTCATGTTGAAATCTGTGGCCTCTGAACATGGGCTGCTGTTAACCAGGTCTGTGATCCTGTAAGAAAAAGGATGTTTCAATGCGACACCTTTCATGATCTCTTACTAACTGAACATACTTTTAGGTTTGCAAATCTTCCTTGCAAAAGCTCAGATGAAACTATTGCATATATGTATGTATACACCATCAGAAAATTAGAGATTTTGGTTGTAGTGTTTGGAAAACTGATAAATGAAGCCAGTTTTAAACAGCAAAATAAATCACACTACATTAATATCCATTATCAGCACACATTGCTAATGGCTAGTTCTTTATAATTATTAATCATTATCAGTGCAAATTCAAAGTACTTATTCCTTAAAACTTGAGTCATAAGTTACCTGTGAGTATGCAGTACCATGAAGCTGAAGCCACATAGTCAGTGCTTCTGGCTGGTCCTTGGTAGTCTTAGTCACCCATGTGGAGGTAATCAATTGCCCAAAAGCTCTTTGACAAGGGAAGCTGGACCTGACAAAGGCCTCTTCTTTCACCCCTAACATTACCCTCAAATCTGAGATCTCTCATGATTTGGTAATACTTTACCTCAGTTCCTGACCTACAGACTGGATGACACTTAGATAGGGTTATTTTTCAGGCTGTAGCAGGTAACTTTATTCTGTCAGTTGTCTGTTTTGCTTTGTTGTGTAATTGCTTCTTGTCTAAAAGCAACAGTAGTCTTGCCAGTTCTTAATTTTGCCCTTTCTCAGTGTTGAGTATGTGACCATCAGCTGTTGTTCATAGTTCTCGGGCCTCTCTTTTCAACTTGTGCCCATACTTTCAAGACCTTTGCTATCCCATGCTAAAACTTCACATTATAACAGCAAACACCTGGTACTGAATTCTACTTCAAACAGCAAGCTCTCCTAACAATAACATGTCTAGAAGGTCAGTACTGGAGCCTTGCACAGTAAGTGTAAGACATAGTTAGCATGACCTATTCCTAGCAAAAGCAATTTGTTTTTTTTACAGAATCATTAGGTACAAAAATTTTGTATATTATTTCCTAGGCTCCTCTCCTGTGAAGACAAGCTGAGGGAGTTGAGGTTGTTAGCCTGGAGAAGAGAAGGCTTTGGGGAGACCTTATAGTGCCTTCCAGTACGAGAGCTGGAGAGGGACATTTTACAAGGACATGTAGTGACAGGAGATAATGCTGGGGCCTGAAGAACTGACCCTGAGCCAAAGTTGACCTATAAGCTGAACTCTCCAACCTAGTATTGTATTTAGACATATATCTACTTATTAACCGAGATGCTATATAATCCTTAATAATGCTTTAAGAATATGCATTGGCGCTTGTTAACACGGTATATTATTAATAATTAGTAAGGCTTGAATGTGTTATAAATACGCCTTTTCTTTCCAGCCGTGGCCATGAAAAACCGTAGGTCTCACATAGTCACAGGTGGTTCATATTTGAGATATTGATGTAGCCATAAGTTCTGTGTTTAGTGACGAGGCAAGACTATAGGGCATTTGATAGTAGATGGTCCAAATTGACTCCCTTGGTCTCCCTTTGGGCCTTGGCCAGGCCTAAGGGGAATACCAATGGAGGAAGAAAGCCAGATAGTTTTGCCACACCAATTGAGTAATGTAAGCTGGTTTGTTTAACATTATATAAGCTGGACCCTCTCACAATGAAGATGGAGGCCTCACCTGCGGGTGGACACACTGCATAGGATTTCCCATTTACTGGGAAGAGGTTTTCCAGACCTTAGCTGTGATGGAGGACTTTCTAGCTGAAGTGCAGTCTGGATGATGATGATGACGGTAATATATTTAGGGTAACTGGTGATGTATCTCTCTCTTAATCACTATAAGACTTTTTTTGTAGTAATGATTAGATGCATTGCTGAGTGTGTCCTTTCATAAGCCACTGCTTCTTTTGTAATTCTTTACTGTCTTGCACTATAGTAAACTTATACACTTATTCTTTAAAGTTGGTGTCTGTGTTCTTTAAATCCATCCTCATTACTGGGGGAGGGAGGCAAAACAGATTGGCAAAACACAGGGCAAGGGGAAGTGGCTTCGGACTGAAAGAAAGTAGGTTTAAATTGAATATTAGGAAGAAAGTCTTTACTGTGAGGGTGGTAAGACTAGCACAGGTTGCCCAGAGAAGTTGTGGGTGCTCCATCCCTGGAAGTGTTCAAGGTCAGGTTGAATGGGGCTTTGAGCAACCTGGTGTAGTGGAAGGTGTCCCTGCCTGTGGCATGGGGGTTGGAACTTGATGATCTTTAAGGTCCATTCCAACCCAAAACATTCCATGATTCTGTATTATCTTGAAGTTTCTTTGATTTCTGAAAATTTTTATGTTATTAGAAGGTAATGAAACTAAGAATAGGAGAGTTTCTGACCTTGTGTAAGGGGTTTTGGGGGGGGACATTTGCTTGAGTGTTTAAAAAAATTTAAATAACAATGTTCTTTATCAAAATTCGTTTTCATAGTCTGTTCAACCAGTAATTGCTTTAAGCTTTGAAAAGGTCTAGGCAACTTTAGTATTTCCACAGACATTGTGTACAGTTCTACATTCTCATTCTACACTGATTTCTTAATGAAGGCACCATGTTTGTTTTCAGAAGTTTTAAAGACCTGGAAATTGGAATGAAGAAAATAGTTAAATTGCTGCTTAAGCTAACAACCATAAATTATATTATTTATGCATGAATGGGCACAGAGAATGAGCTAAAATTATTTCCCAGGTATGAAGAAGCAGAATCACAAAAGCTATTCTAGAAGTGTGTAAAAAATTTTTTTCCCTTCAATTTTGGAAGCATTTGCATTTAACTCCAACAGGTCCATGTCTATGTTCTGCTAAAGACTCAAGAGGGGAATGCTACATTCCAGGCAGGGTCTCATGAAACTGGAGTAGAGGGTGCTCCTAATTCTTTCATCCTCCAGCCTATATTGAAACTGGGGATTGCCCTGACCCAGATGCAGGACCTTGCCTTTTGGCCTCATGAGGTATAATACTACTACTAATGATAATACTACTACTACTAATAATAATATCATCATCATCATCCTTTTTATCTATTGGATACAGACAGTAGTAAAGTAGAGGTGGATAGGATAGATGTTGACAATACCTTCATTTTTATATTCAAGAAGCAAATATTAGTTTTCTACCTGTCAAATGTACTTATCCCCAAGGGTAGTTGGAAATAATGGTAAATTATCTGTTTCAGACTACTAAAACTCGGGAAGTGTCCAGTATAGGTCTGAATTGAATCTAACTAATCTATAGATTCAAAGCTCTTTTTAAAAATCATCTACTTTTTATTCCAGAGGCAAAAAAGCTTGTTAATATGTAGACAAAGATTAAGTATGTTTTTAAATGATTTTGTTCCCATGCTGAGTATGTAAATCAAGGATTAATTCAAAAAGGATTATCCTACAAATACCTTGAAAGTAGTTGTTGTACATCTCTGTGCTGATAGTTCTGAAACATAACAAAATTTACACTTGGCATAGACATGTCCTATAGAATATACACTGGAATGATTTATCATAATCTATGGACATATTTTTATCTGTGCACTCTCAATGAAACTCCCAAGCCAACTAAACCTGATCCACATGGAAGCACCAGGAGGAAATGGAAGGGAATAGTAGTGAGCAACTCCCTGCAGTTGGGAAGAGGATTGCTCCCATTTTCTGACCTCATCTGTTGTCTAGGGAGTTTTGCTGCCTTTCAGGGGCTCAGATTTGGGACATTGTGGAAGGACTACCGAGGCTCATCTGGCACTCAGACTATCACCCCTTGATGCTTTTCTACATAGCCCCCTGTCATGCTGCCAGGGGTAGCATGGAGCATATGAAGCATGACTACATGGGTATGGGGATGGTGGTTAAGGGCAGGGGGCCCTAAATGTTCCTTCTTGATCCTTACAGTGAAGGTGGAGGACATGAGGAGGAGTGGACAGATCCTACAAGCGGGTGCACAACTGGTGTCAGCAACAGGGGTTTGGTATTTATAACTATGGGGGACACTTTAAGGATTGATGATAGCCTGCAGGAAAGAGAAAGGTTCCACCTGACTAGGGTGCCCAAAAGACTGACCTTATTGGTGAGGAGACTTTTGAGATAGAAGTATCAAGTTAGGGAGAGGACGACCACAAATTATATGAGGAAGTAGTCAACTAGGTTAGCAGGCAAAATCAGGTCTGTAGACATCATAATCAACAAAACAGAGCTGAAGGGGTGCAATGTAAAGTTTGTCCATATAAAGTATTCAGTCTGGGGAAGAGAAGCCTCAGGGGGAATCTTAGTGTTTAGTGTGTATTGGTTGATGAGAAGGAGTAAAGGAGATGGAGACGGACACTTCTAAGTGTTGTCCCATGACAGGACAAGAGGCCATGGGCACAAACTGAAATACAGGATATACCACTTTTTTACTGTGATGATGGTCAACCACTGGAACAGGGTTGTTGTGTACAGTTCTACATTCTCATTCTACATTGATTTCTTAATGAAGGCATCATGTTTGTTTTCAGAAGTTTTAAAGATCTTGAAATTGGAATGAAGAAAATAGTCAAATTGCTACTTAAGTTAACAACCATTAAGTAAACATTCCACTGTCCAGAGAGGCTGTGGAATCTCCATCCTTGGTGATCATGAATCATAGAATATGCTGAGTTGGAAGGGACCCATCAGGATTGAGTCCAACTCCTGGCCCTGCACAGGACACCCCAAGAGTCACCATGTGCCTGAGAGTATTGTCCAAACGCATCTTGAACTGTCAGGCTTGGTGTTGTGACCACTTCCCTGAGGATCCTGTTCCAGTGCTCAACCACCCTCTGGATGAAAATCCTTTTCCTGATATTTAACTAAACCTCCCCTGACTCAGCTTCATATCATTTCCTCAGGTCCTGTCAGTGGTCACAAGAGAGAAGTGATCAGTGCCTGCCCCTCTGCTTTCCCTTGTGAGGATGTTGAAGATTGCAATGAGGTCTGCCCTCAGTCTCTTCTCTAGGCTGAACAAAAGCCAGGTCTGGGCAACCTGCTATAGCTCTGAGCACTAGGCAGTTTCCAGAGGTTCCAACACCAGCCTTTTTTGAGTTCTAGAGTAGGAGTCCTTTTGGCTCATTTTTCAGAGCTATCACAGGCTTTGTGGCAAAACAGCAAAAATGGCAGATATACACTGGAAATGAAAAAGATACTTAAAATCTACTTAAAATCAGTGTTATCCTATGTTGAAATTACACAAGCAAACTTCTCTTTTTATTTAGCTCTTCTGAACTAATACAGAATGTCTTGACATTTTCATCTATATTAGCTTAATTTGAAAACATACATTTTAATTCTTGCCATTTGAAAGCACCCTTGTAATGAATACTGTCCTAAAACTGCTTCTACAGTCTTTTTCAGCATGATTTAATAACAGCTTAACAGTAATCAAATTAATTAAACTCTCATAAACCTGCCATTAAATTAAAAAAACCCCCACACACTCAGATGCTAACTATAAGTTTGTGTGAAAGACTTGTTACTCTATAAAATAAAGTCTTCACTGAACAAGTTGTCAAATGTTAGACAAATTTTAAAAACCCTTCCTGAATGTGGAAGAGTGGCCCACTACAGGCTGTTGTCAGTGGCTGGGCCATCACAGTTAATTCAACCAATCTCTGTCCTGGTGTCCATTCTTTTCCCACATAGTCTTCTGCCATGACAGGGTGTAGATTAGGACCTATATAAGCACTATATAATCCCTCATTGTCATATAATGGGATCAGTTGGAAATAAGTGTCCAGTGGAACTCAGGCATTGCCCATAACATACTACTTGTCAGAGAAGCACAAAAGTATCAGGATGCAATGGGATTGCATGTTTCATTGTATCCAAGTGGCTTTTTCATGAGGAGAGGGAGAGGAATCAGTGCTATATTTTTGTTGTGAGGTGGTCACATTTTTTCCTTGTTTCAGAAAAACTCTTTAGCAGCTCTTTGAAAGGAGGCCCACACATAATAAAAATTCAGCAGCAACTGCTTCAAAATTGTTTGCTGAATGTATGAACGTAAGCTATCGTATTTTCTGTCTTTTGTTGTGTTTGTAAATTGTAACTAATTACTTTCATAAAGTTGCATAATGGTGCAAGAAAATTGCAAAAGTAGCTTTGAAAATTAATGAGTTGTTGTTCTTTTAACTAAACCATTATAGAAACATAGAAAATATCCTGAATTGCAATGGACCCACTAGGATCATCAAAGTCCAACTCCTGGCCCTGTACAGGACAGCCCCAATAATCACACCTCATTAGTACCTCATTAGTACCTCAGCTTTAATAAAAGAATGATTTTTTTACACAAAGGAAAATCAGTGAAACAGAAATATTGGATCATTCTTTTCTGTATTTTCAACAATTAAAAGTTTGTGTAAAAAGCAGTGAAAGACTAATATCTAAAACAATAGGCAGAGGGACTTGAAGGAGGAGGCAGAATAGGTACATCAGAAGACTAATGGAGTTTGCTAAAACCCACCACCATCACTAACACTGAGTTTTGAATCAAATGCAGAACTAGTGGAGGTATATGACCTTACTTTCATTATATTTGTTACATTTCTTTGGAGGCAGTTTTCAGAAAATACTGGAGTTTGAAAAAGCTTGAGTTTAAGAAGGTAAAGCTCTGGAACAGCTTAGGTGAGACTATGAAGTCTTACATTGTACTAAGAAAGCAACACTTACAGAACTGAAAGAGAAACTGATCAAAGTCTCAAAATACATCTGATTTAATATTGGTAGCATAATATAGTATTTAATATTAAAGATTAGAATCTATCTTCAATTTCTTATGATTAGAAAAAGCACTAAGTACTTCAGTAGTTCTTCATCTTAATTCTCGAGCAGGTCACGAAGATATTTTAAAGGCTGATTTGAGTTATATATGTAATGGATTTTAAGGGAATGTAATAAGACAGTAAATGTATAAGCTGATATTGGCATTCGTGTTTAATTTTCCTATAAAAATGACAGATGGGTTGTTTTATCAAATTCTCTGGGGAAAGCATTGGAAAAAGTGATGAAATGAATATGTGATTTATAGGAGACTGTTATGTAAAGGACAGTATTGAGGAACTTAGAGGTCTTCTCTTTCAGTAAATTTGTTGTGAATTAAGAGAGTACATGTGAAAGATTGAGCAAAGCCTACAAGTTGCAATGTCTTTGTTCTTTCTTTATTTTATGCAATTAAATACCTCAGTAAGAAACTATCAACTGGTTTATGCAAGTTTTACATTACAATTTACATATACTCAGCAAACTATGGTCTCAGAAAAACTGAAGTGAAACTGGTACTCTGATTTTTAGAATGCATGCAAAATAAAAACACAAAGCATAACAATTCTAAATACTGTATGCTTCTTATAGTTTGAACAATAAGTAATTTTGTGGTATACCTTTTTAACAATGTGGGAAGGAAGACTTTATCCTTCATTTCTTTGTCAGTCATAAACCAAAGTACTCATCTTTCACTTAGCTTTTCTCATATTTTAACTTGGTAGTTTAGTGCAGTATGAGCTGGAAATGAAAAATATGAAAGTTCTGACAAATGTACAGTGCCTGGGAAAGGTAATAGAGGTAGATATCCTGTGTGTTCTGGAAAGCAGGACACCATGTGACAATTCAGAAGTTTATTTAATCTGAAAAATAGTCAAAACTACTTGTTATTTTAAGAAGAGATATTTCAGAGAAAGTAAAATCAAATTTTACCTGTAATAAATTACTACAAATTGAAATAGCAAAAAATTTTTTTCATCAAAGATGAGGGATTTCTTTTTGCATTTGTACCATGTAGAATTTTCCAATAAAGTTTTTAATTTTATAACTGGAATTCATTGCAACCACTTGTCACATGTCAGATTGGCAGTTTCTGAACACATGCTAAAATATATTTATGTAATAAGCTGCATATGAATTAAGATTTGCAAAATAATACCATCTCTTGAAATTATTGAATAAATTTGGGGTTTCAGTGGCTGTAATGGAAGGGGGAAGTAAGTAGTGAAAATAGCAATGTGAGAGCAGCACTACCTCTCAGAGTCTGTTACCCAAGATTTACTTATTTTGTATTTATTATTCTATTTAATTTGCTTCCATGTTGAACTAGTCTTACCAAAGCAAGAACTATATCTGGCAGCATAGTTTATAGTACCCAATAAAATCTGGTTATGCTGAGTACAGCACTGCTTTTTATATTGACACATTAACACAAATACTAAAAGCAGTGATTTAGCTAAGTGAAGATTTTTCAGGAATTCAAGTACTTTTGAAGGAACTGGGTAGACAGAGTTGTCTCAGAAGAGTGATGTCTTTATTGAACATTTCAGAGACACTACCGAAAGTATCACTATAGTTTTAATCCAGTGTCAGAAAAAGGATGATATTCAGTATTAATTCAAAGATAACAAGGTCATATCAAGTAATACAAATTAAACAAATAATATGTTGTATAACACTATAGTTTCCCTGAGTTTATTAACTGGATATCACATATTCTTTTTTAGAATTCTAACCTGATCCATCAGAAGGTGTCTCCTCCTGCAGAGCAACAAGGATCTCCAGTCTTATCCTTCATTACTCTGGAACAATTCAGTGCAATTCGCCTTGTGCAAAGTGTCCATCAGTCTCTTGCTTCTTTAAGTAAAGTCATCAGAGGTACCTCATTACTGAGTTCTGAAGTACAAAGACTTGCAAGTGCTCTGTTAAACCAGAAGGTAATTTTGTATACATTATAATGCACGATGAAAAAAAACAAGGAAACTGAACAAATTCTGATACACATTTTCATGTCACCATTTGTTCTAAGCTCTTTTATTGATAAAGACTCTAAAACTGCGTTATTTTATTGATAGTAAGTCTTGAACAGAATCAGGATTTTTCTGGAAAATTTTTCAAAGAAGTGTTGCTTCACGTACTTGCAGAAGTTTCTGAATATATTGTCCTTTTATCAAGTTTTCTCTTAAAGACAATTCCAATAAGGTTAGAAGTTGTGGAATGCTATTTCAATTTCAAATACCAAGTCATATTTGATAAGTCAGATATATTAGCCAGTAGAACATGTAAATCTGTCCCTTTACTCAGTTTTTACATTTTCTTAAAATTTAAGTTATAATCACAATTCACTCTCTGCATTTATTCAGTGTGGAGTATATCACACCAGACAAGCTGTACCTATCATACCAACCTATCATCTCACCCTATATTCTTGAAATATGAGAAAAGCAATCAGAATTTGCACATGTACTCTCTCCATCTTTTTTGGCATGAAACTGGGCATATTTATAAACTGGTACAATTAGTGACTGCAAATTTACATACTCCATCATTAATAGCCAGATAATTGGATTACAAATATAGTCAAACATGGATTTGACCTGAAACTCTGGTTTTGTTTCACCTGAAGCAATAAATTCTGCCGACACTAATGCATAGATATTGAGATTTGTTCCGCAGTGAACGGTAATTCCTATTTATATCTTGTTTATCTTCATTGGAAGAACAAGTACTGTTAAAAAGATTTTTATGCATTTATTATTCTATCAAAAAAATTATTAAATTTGGTGTCTTTTTAGATGCACAAGACTGCATTTGTTAGCAAAATTGCAGTACAATTAGAATAAATTAATGTTTTCATGTTAGCAATCTCATTTCCTTTTTAAACATGTTTTGACTGTGTGGTAGAAATTGGTACTACGTGCAAGTCATAGCGAATGTAAATGATACATGTAATGGTCATTCTTTAGTACTTACAGTTATATTTCTTGTTACTGAGCAAGAGAGATTGACTTGCTTGTGTGCTTAAGATGCACTCAAATTGGAAGCAGCAGGAGCTATGAAACTGATCACTGTCACAAAAACGTAGTTAAAAATTCTATGAATTTTTACCTCTTGCAAACATCGGTTCAGTGCTTCATGATGTATTCAGTGAAGTGTTTCTGTCATTTCATCTGCTTACTTACCCACTTACCTTGACGCAGATCACTTGACTGGATTGTGACTGTATAGCAATCTTTTCAGCAGCCTTCCAGAGAGGCTAATGACACATTCTTGGCATGGCAGCTAAACCTCAAGACAGCTAAACCTCATTATATTTATCATCCTAAAATGATTTGTTTCATGGATCTTCTATACACTGTTCTTATTTAGTTTAGTGTTTTCATGTGTTATGTAACAAAAGACTATTTTTAAAAACTTGTATTTTAAAAGCACCAAGATTGTAGTTCTTCTAAGACTATAGCACCTGAAGAAACTGCTAGATTAATAGAAATGCAAAAACCACAAATGTACTACTTCTAAGTTTTCAGCAATGTGCTTTATTTGTGTAAAACTGATACATTAGCCCCATAGAAGAAAATTAACTCTACCCCAGCCAAAACGAGCAGAAGTATACATCTGAAATATGCTTACATAATAACGATTAGCTAAGCTATTTCTTTAAACTTAGAGTAATTTAGAGTGATATATTAGCAATGTTAGGTGAATACCTTCTAAATGATAGATTGGTGAGCTGTCTGTAAATGCATATCTAGCAAAGAGGTCTGCAAAAATGCAAGGTTAAGAGTTTAAAATAAAAAAAAAGTTTCAAAAAACCATAATTATGAAAAAAAAATATGCAGTTAACTGTGCTTTGTTAGTTGACTTGAATGTGTTCTAATTTATTCGATTCATACTTAATTAGTGTCTCCAGACCTAGTTATGTTCTAGTTTTTATCTATAAAAGGTACACATGGAGTATTTACTTTGAAAGATACCTTCTCTTACAAACTTATGTAATCAGATTTTGAAAATCTGTTCAGTGTATATGCTATGAAAACGTGAACCTCCTTGAAAATGCAGCGGTAAATATTAAAAGGATAAACTGTTTATTCTATTCATCATCTTCAGTATTGTGCAGTATTCTACAGGTAATGATTTACATCAGTTCTCTTTCTCTTAAGTAGGAGAATCTTGCAGAATCACTTTCCCTGTGCTTTACAGGTTCCTGTGGAGTAGTTAAAATTAATGTTTTTACACTTGTTTTATAAGGAGGAAATCTAACAGAGGACCTTTCTAAGCTTTTCATTTTGAAGTCGATGAGAAATTTGTGTGGGAAGGTCTTGTAGGATTTTATTCTCAGGTTTTGCTCTACAAAAACTGTAAAGTGATGAGAAAATAATCATGCAGAGGAATTGTAGCAGCTTCTCTTCACCACCACATAGCCACACTACTGCCTGTTCAAGTCTGAGGAGGCAGCAGCAAAGGAGTGGGAAACTGTGGCTGCTCTTGAAAGATGACATTGTGGCTTTTCAAGAAATAATCTGCTTAGGCCTTTTAGAATTGTTCTTGGAAAAAACTGATGTTCCCTTATTGAATATCAGAGGTTCTTGAAGGTTCCCCGTCAGCACTGTATCTGTGTGGGCTACAAGAAGAATTAGCAGGAACATGACCTTTCTATTAGTGGTTGTATATTTTGGTCATTTTATTACTTGTATTTCCTTTTTTCTTTGTAGCTATATTTGATCTCCAGATTGTTTAATTTCATTTCAAATTGCTAGTTTAAAACATAATGGATTTGAAATGGATACTTTCAGTAAATATATTTTTATTTCAGTGTCCTATCACATGGCAAAGCAAGTGGGAAGGTCCAGAAGATCCTTTACAATATCTTAGAAGTCTTGTAGCTCGAGCGCTTGCTATACAGGTAATTTTAAAGAGTCATTTATTTACCTTAGTATACTGGTGTTCATTGACACAGTATATCATGTAAATTACTCTACAGTAGACCTTTACAAATACCAGTCCTAAAGAGTTGTAGATGTGTGAAAAGGAATGTAAAAATTTAAAGGAGTAATATGGTAATATTGTTGGTTGCTTCACAATCGATTTACACCTTAGATTTTAGTCACTAGTCTTTATAATGAACTAGGGGGGAAAGAAAATTTATGCGGTTGAAACTTTACATCTAAGTCAACACACACTCTTTCATCTGGTAGAGAGATGCCTATCAAGGCGTAAATGAAGCATTTCTAATAGAGGTAATGTAGACGACTAGTCTTTAAAGCAAATAATGAAAACATCTGCATTCTCCAGGTTTACAAGAGGCTATAATAGAAGGTGCAGTATGACAACAGCTTTGTCAGTTTACAGTCTGACAGTGAAGAGGATAATTTTTAGTTAAGGTAGATCTATGTGTACTTTTATTGACAGAAGCAGTGTATTTAAGATAATAGGCAGATGAAAAAAAAGTCATTCATCTAAATTAACTGGTATTTAAGGAAATAGATTTCATCATGTTGCATACAGAGAGAGAAAACTGTGAGAACCTTCCAGAGAGGTAGGAAGGACAGATCTCTATTATCTCTGGGCAATAAATAAAAAGCTTACGGTTTTGACTTTGATTAACACAGTCTTGTCCAGCAGCATACAAAGATTTCTGTCAACATTGGTGTTGACTGTCAGATTCAGAAGGAAGATTTGAAGGACACATGATTTCTAGGCATTACTTTTTCTAAAGAAACTACCAGATGGATGTTTTCAAAGTATTAATAGCATTCTTGTTATGCAAACAGTTTCTTTTGGCTAATGCTTAGTTTTTGTTTGTCCTTTTCTTCAAAAAACGCTTAAAATATAAACAAAGAAAGTGTAAATATGTAAAGCAACAAGTGATAATGCATGTTCAGATGTTATTTGGTCATATAACTAGGGCTGAACTTAGTCCCATCTGACTATTATTGTCTTTAGTATTAAAAAAACATCATTTGTGGTTGAGTCAGTGTGTTTGTATGCTTCAAGAGTACCTTGCTGTTTGCAGCTTGTACTTTCATTTGGTTGTGACCAAACTGCATGCAACTTTCCTTACTTATATGGGTTTTTCTTAATTGAAGTCTGAGATTACTGTTCAAGCTTCTGTGTGGACTGCACCTCCCATACAAAGTGGAGATAATGTGACAGAGTGTAACAGAATGAAATTAGTGTTAATAGTAATAAATGATTTTCAACCACACATATTCAGAAAGTTTTTATTTTCATATATTACTTCAGTCAACTATTGACAAATATGCTGCCTTATATCACCATGATAGTAATCTTCCTTTCTCGCTGTTTAAACTGCTGACAAAATGTTACATTTGGATTACTCATTTTTATGAAAGTTATTATGAAGAAATCATTTACAATTTTAAACAGTTATTTTTTGTAAGAGAGGGAAAGATTATTAAGGCAGAGCTTTACAGCAGATACTTAACATACATACTTGTATCCAGAAACAGTAAATTACATTAAATTTTTTGTTAGTGACAACAGTTGCTGGTTATTTAATTTTATTTTTTTTAATGTTACATATGTAGTATAGTTGTGTTTGAAGCAATTCTTAATAATACATTACCAGTCTGTTTTCCATCTCAAGCTTCCAGTCAAATCATGTCTGAAATGCAATTTCTACACTTTTTTTGTGTATGGTACTAGAAAAGTGTTGATTTTTTCTAATTATGCATTTCAGTTGAATCATCTTTTTCCTTAAATATGATTCCAATTCATAGTTGTGCATATTACAGCAAGATTTTGATTACTTATGATAAGTTTTTAATTAACTTTTCTTTTTTGTGACTTTTTGTTACTGATTTTATAAATGTAATTTATCATTAGTTAATTCTAGGTTTAGTATTCAGAAATTCAATAAAGGCTTCAATTCTCACAACTCTGAAAATTATTTTCAGATTTATATTTCAATAAATGCCATATTTTGGATTGGTTTAGTTTTATATGACCAACTCCATCGTCTTTTTTTTGATAGTTACTCTTATCTCCCTCAGTTTCATCAACTATGAGACTTGTACTTTCACTGTTTGAGGCAGATTTGATTTAGGTATTTTTTAAGAGGAAATAGGAGACATTGAAACATCAAATTTGTACTGAGTGATTACATTTACTAAGGATGAAGTAAGTCTCTACCTAGGTTATTAGTTAAAGGCTGCCTTGTCAAGAGGTTTGCTGCCAGTGTAGAAAATAATAAAAGCAACTGCATTGTCACAAGCATTTAATGGGAATGGAGAGGAACACAAAATATAGGCCAGATGGTAAAATATTTATAGCAGAATTTATAGAAGTGTAAAGATGTTCTGAGAGCATTACACAACAACAGACAGAAAAACAACAGTTCTTACATTTCTCAGGTCTGAATTATCTCAGTAAAAAGCAAAATTAAAAAAAACTGCCTACTGAAAGTGTGAGGAAATATGTATATGCAAAATGCAGTAGAGACTTGTATTGCTGTGCAGTACTTTGTTGTGACAGAACTGATGGAAATAGATGATTTCTTCCCAGATTGAAGTTCTGATATTTGGATGTTAACTTTTGCTTTAAATTGAAACAAAAATGGTGTATTGAACATTCTTCTAAGATGGAGTTCTGAATACTCTCAATTAGCAATGCTGACTTTGAACTTTACAATATCATGATTTAGCTTGTCTATCTATAGTGATATATTTGCTATCAACATTAAGGCATGAAAGATATGAATCATCATAGATCATTGTATTGGTTTTAAGTCTTGGTCCTTATACTGCCAGTTTCCTCATGATGGCATCTTAAATGTGTTCTGTGGCTTTCCTCTCAGTTCACGATTATAGCTCAGGAATAGTACACATTAGCATATAATGCTCTTAAGTGAATTCCAGTCTCTAGATAAGTGTCTTCTCATGGCTATGGATACCAGCAGGAGAGAAAGAGAAGAGACCCTGGACTATAGCTAGTAAGAGCCAAAACACCAGCCCAGGCAAATGTCAGATGAATTAAAAAATGTTTCAGGTCAACAAATTGGAAATTAATTTTTGTTTCCACAACAACTAAATGTAGAGCTTAATTTCACCTTTTTTTAAAAAAAACAACCAAAAATACTCATACTCTTCTTATTCCAAAAATACGTTCTATTTTAAATTAAAACATTTATTTATTCTTTTAACTGAGCTGGTTTTATATCATCTGCAAAAACAGTTCTTCCTTTGGATGACTGTTTGATCAGAGAGAGCCGCTAAAAGGCTTACAGTGTACATTGAAAATGTACATCTATTTCAGTGTTCTAATCAAGGAAATGTTTATGAACATAGAAGGTTTTTATTTGCCTAATTTATAAAGGGTTTTGTTGAAAATGTGCATTTATCTATAAAATATTCCCAGTATATAAAAAAAGTTGTATTTCATACTTCTTCAAGAGACTCATATTTATCTCACTGGGATGCTGCTCTCTTTTCCTCTCCCATTCTGAGTGAAATCTAGGGTAATAATATAATGTCAATGCTGGTTCGATCCCTTAGTAAAAGAGTTTTGCTATTTTATTGCTCTTTTGTTTTTTGAGGAAAAATTACTTTGTTTTTGTTTTGGAACCCTTACTATACCTCTGTTTCAACAGTTAGGTCCCCAGAGAGATAGATAGGACACCCAAGGTATGTGAGATTTGAACTCCTGGAAATTGCCTGCTGAAGACACTAGAAAACCTTCTGGGAATAGGAGACACGGGATCCTTCCTTCACACCCCAAACATCTAGGCAAAAATATTAAATTTTCTTTCACTCATAGCAGGCAGAAAGTCTGGTATTAGAAAGCCAAGGAAGCCAAGTCCTCTCAATTTTCACCAAGTTAAAGAACTTCCATAATAAATTTTGTACAAACTCAAAATTTTCATGCTCAGTCCCCGTATCCATCCGCTTGTGCACTCCATAATAACACCTATTCCCCCTTTAAGTAATCACACTTACTTTGCATAACATTTCAATTTTTTCTAATACGTTGCGTTAGCAGATTTTGCTGCGGAGACAATAGCTTAATGGTTTGCCTTTTACAGTTTTAGGAGTATCTGATTTTGATGAATTAGGTTTGCTGGTTCCTCACCTTGTTGTTGTTCCTCTCATGACTCTCTCTATTTGAACAGCTGTTACCTAGGTATCTGTGCAGTGCAGAATGCTCCAGGTTTAGCATACTGATATTAATGCACAAGAATTCATCGAAGTAATGTTTTAAATCTATGCGCTCTGTTATTTTAATTCAAATTTACACCTTATTCTGAAGAATTAGCATTTTTCTGCTGTGTTTTTTGGCTTCTCCTCTTCAGCTGTCATGAATATCAAAACAAAAATACAACTGCAGTCTAACATTATCTGCTAAGGAACTGATCCTTAATTGGCTCCCTTAGCTCCAATCATGTTGCAGCATGATTTCATTTTGTTCAGAATTTATCAGCCAGGATACATTTCTCAAGACCTTTTATCTAAGTGATAACTGCTTGGTAAAAATTGGAAATTTGCTAGTACTACTATAAAATATGTTTTGTTTGTCTGTCATGTAATAGATCTTACAGATCCAGCTGTTGTATTGTGTCCCTTTTTAATCACTGCCTCAGTTAGATAGTATTGATGAAGTAATGGCTGAGTGTTTTGTAAAGATACACCATCCAAAGAGGGTGCTACACAGAATGTAAGATCAAAGTATCAGACTTGTAGAGGTCATAGGAGCTGTCCATTGAAATAAGATATAATTTCCAAGGAAGCTTAAGCAGAGCTGAAGCACTTTTTGCACACAGATAGTTCACATAGTCTTATGACTTACAGAAAGCTGTATTCCTGCACGGGTACCTGAGCTGTAAGGATCGCTGAAGTTTCCTTTTAATGCATCAGTTCAACACTTTACTTTTCATAGGTTTTGAATCAT